CATTTTATTTTTGCTTTATTTTGGCTAGGATGAAATGCATACAAACTCTGTTGAATGTTTTTCATAAAAGCTCTCAGATTTGGAGGTAATCTGTCTACAAATAAACTATCTTTCTAGGGCTTCATTTATACATACCATAGCATTTTATGTGCACATTTATTTTTGTCATTTTAAAAGAAGTATGTACGAGAATATGAGGAAATGACTGTATGAGTGAAGAGTGCAGCATTAAAACACACACGAAGGCCACTGTTACTGTGGTGTTGCAGGGGTGAGAGTTTGGGGGGATGGCTAGCATGTACTCCTCCTTCATGTTCCTAAAGGTGCAGAACTGAATGGATGTGGTCCCACAGATCAGCACTGGATGGAGCGTATCTTAAGGAAGTCTTCCCTTTACTCCCAGGATACAAAGCAGCTGCTCATATTTCCCTCCAGGGTACAGGTACACCAGTTTGGAAAGGAAAGTCCAATTCTTGCTAGGCTCTGGCCCTTCTGTATTCAGGCCTGTGAGGTATTGTGAGGTATTCACATTAAACATGGCATAGGATTATACATCCTCTCAACAGGCAGTTTCCTTACTGCTATAAAAATATTCTAATTGCCTGGAAGAGAATATAACTTTAAGAATATCTTATATCCAACCAAACAGGTAAAAAGAAGGTAAAATCCAGAAGCATAAACAGTATGATAATCTTCCTCTGTGTATTAGCATGAATCCATGTTACTCTCAGGTATATTGTTTTTGTTTATTCGTTGTATTTTGTTTTAGTATGAAAGCAAATAAAATTGCAGTATGTTTTATTGCTTCCAAGCAGCAATCAGAAGGCACAGCGCTCCTCCTAACACAGGAGAAATTAAAGAGAAGGCTGTACTGGAGCCCTGAGAGCTCAGTGACCTTCTCCAAACTGAACAGAGTGTGAAATGTGATTCTGTTCTCTTTAGGATGATTACCGAACTCCTCTTGGCTAATACGACCATTTGGCATTACATATCTTCTAGTTGTCATGCAGATGACTCACTTAAAATCATTGCAGGATAGCGTAATTCACATATGTTAACTCAGTTCATTTCATCTGCCATTTACCAACTGTTCTATAGAATAGTTTTACATCCTGTAGAATTGATCTGTTTACCCGAAGGCAAATTCAACCCGGTCTATTATAGAGCCTTTCCTTTCTTTCAAACCAAGGAAAGTTTCCCGCTTAGCTTTAAGGTTATAATGAATGCTCTGGTACAGGTGGGGTTTTTCTTCACGTCAAGAAGATGACATTTTATTGTTTGGTGGTACACAGCAGGTCATCATCCTGCTGGATGCCTCTGGGAAGTCAGTCCCAGATTTACTACTTGTACCCATTTCATTCAGGCACTGAAATAATTTGGGGTGAAACTTTTTCAGCATTGAAGAAGCAAAGATCGCATCACTTTATTTATAGGGAAAGTAAAACCAGCAATTCTGTACCTGCAGGCTTTACCACTCCTGGGTTCTTCTCATCAAGTAAATCTGCTGAGATTTAATGCTATATAATCCTAGTTTAAGTTGGTATAAATATCTGACATTTTTATGTGGGTAAAATCAAACAAGAGAGGGATCTCTACACAGTGACATTTTTGTCACTACCTCAGGAAACCAAAACAGAATGTTTTCGATGCAATCCAGATTTTGAAAAGTGGCCTTAAATAACTTGTATCACATGCTTTGCTCATAATCGGCATTTCTTTTCCACATTAGAGTTTGACTTTAACTTCCCCTCCTCCTTCTCTTATTTATTTTGCTCCATAGACTTTGCACCCTCCCATGCAAATAAACAATCATTTGTTTATTCTATTGTACTGCTTGTCTCCTCCACCAGAAGGTAAGCTCCAAGAGGGCGGGGATTTGGGTGGGCTTTGTTCCCTGCAGGAGCCTAAACTCTTAGAACAATGGCTACAACGCAGCAGACATCTGTACCTGTATGTCGGATGAATAAATACTACATCTTTCACACTTCCTCCAACTATTTTTTAAGCATTCAGGTAATTTTACTGTAACTCTTTTTTGAAAGACATAATTTAAAAAATTCACTTATCTTAGGATGGAAAAGAAGAATCTATCTGAAAAACTACCCTATAATAATTTACCTTACATGCCTCTAAGCAAAGATCAGATCAGTTTTACATTTATTAGAAAACATGGTCCTTTAGTACTGAAACCAGAAATCATAAGCCAAGATCACTCCCAATTCTTTCTCAGTGGGTAAACAGGCTGCCTCTAGTCTTCACGGGCACCTCTGGGAGTTCATAAGAGGGAAAGAAAGCAAGTTAACCCGAAGTGCCTCAATAGTCCTAAGAGGACAAAATCATTAACCCTTTCTGAGTGAAATAGCCCAGGCCCTAAATGGTTCAAATTCTCACCAGGTGAGGAAGTGGGGAGATGGAGTGGGGTCACGGGAGCTGGGCTTGGAAGCCACCGTGCCCTCCTTTCTAAGCTCCTCAGTCCTGGTTCAGGTCCAAAGAGTATAGTCCCTCTTGCTCTTTGCGTTTTTAAGGTTTTCTGAAAGGCAGATGGTCCCACTTGAGTTGCTTTGTATGACTGACATTTTTAACGAGTTAGTGACAGAAAAAAAAATTTGACTCACTCCCAGCTGGATAATTTCAAAAATACCAAACTGAAAAGAATGATATCTCATAAATTCAGGCAAATGGGCATTAAGGAGGTTAAGATGGCTGTCCTTTTAATATATCGAGTATTAGCATTTTCCAGGGCTTCAGACAAGTAATGTCATTTCAGCTCAGAAGACTACACCTTTCATTAAAATTCTTCTATTCATTCTGCTTTGTTGCAATAAAAAAAGTCTTAAGTTGTCACATGTAACGTTTATAGAAGGTTCTCAACTCTCAGGGGAGAAAGGTTCAGAAGAGGCAGGCAAGAATTTCAAAGGCCACATAATGCTTACCTCAATACAAAACAGAGACAGCTGTAACCAACAATTTACATTAAAAAATAAGTGTAATTATAGAGACTGTTGATTTAGGAAACTCTGGATATTGGAAGGTTCCTCAATTTCTGTACTGTCAGTGGCCCAAAGAACTCTAGGCTAGCTGACTTTATTCACTTACAGGATAGAGTGTCTCAGTTTGTCCAGGCTGCTATAAGAAAAATACCAGGGGACTGGGTGGCTTATAAACAACAGAAATTTATTTCTCACAGTTCTGGAGGCTGGCAGTCTGAGCTCAGGATGCCAGCAGGGTCAGGGGATTTCTCTCCTGGGTCACAGATTTCTCCTTGTAACCTCACGTGGTCGGAGGGGCTAGGGAGCTTGGTGGGGTCTCTTTTATCAGAGCAATAATGCCATTCATGAGGGCTCCACCCTCATAATGTAAGTACCTCCCAAAGGTCCCGCCTCCTAAACTACCATCACCTTGGGCATTAGGATTTCAACATATGAACTTTTGAGGGAAACGGACATTGAAACCATAGCTAAAGGCATATTCAATAGCAACAATTTGTTGTTCTCGTTTGTTTGAGTGGAGACTTGGATTAAAAAAGCAAAGCAGTACACCAAGGAGTGAACTTTGCTGTGTGTAAATTTAAAAATAAATTGAAATAATCGCCCAACCGATCAGCAGCACAACGTGATTTGGTGCTAAATCCTTGAGCCACAGACCTAGGGTTCCTTAAATTGCTTCAGACTACGACAGGAGGAGGGAACCCAGAGGAAAGAGGGCTGAGTAGCCCACTGTGGAGTTCAGAAGACTGCAAAGCAGGAGAAAGGTTTTCTTCCCAGTACCTTTAAATCTGGTTTAAAAAGTAGGGAGAGTGATACTATCCAGTTTTTAAGGGGGTGGAAGAAACTGTACACTTTTACGTGCTGAGGATGCATTAGTCAAGGTTCTCCAGAAAAAAAAAAAAGCTTACCAAAAAAAGGACAAGTAAAACACACACGTCTGGGGTAGATCATCTGTCTCACTTAGCTCCTGAACAACCTTAGTGCCCATCACCTTGCCGTCCACACAGTAGACACTCAGTAAATGTCTGTGGAATGAACCGCAGGACTGAGAAGGAGACGAGAACTCCCATTTCACTGAGTGAACGTCAGTTCACCTTATAGGTAAACAATACAGGTAAAACATCAGTTTACCTCACAGGTAAACTCAATGGACTGTTGTTTTTGAGAACATTTCCACAGCAGCATGGTGATCTCCCCCTCTTCCTTCAAGCCTCAGATCAAATGTCACCGGAGAGGTGGTATGCAGTGCAGGGAGAACTCTGACAACATTTCATCACAATTGACGCAGGGTATGTCTTGGAAAGGTTAAGTGTGAAAATGTATCTTGAAAGTAATTTGCCGATATCTGTCAACATGTGCATGCTTTTATCCTCAAGACAAATTACATAATGTATCTGTCCATATGGATAAAGATGTGCAGAGATGTCTAAGGCTACAATTCTGTGATGGTAGAAAAAAATCTTAATGTTCACCAATAGGGTGAACATTTAAATGAGTGATGTTACGACTTGACTCTGGCATGCCAGGCCACTGTGTCACAGAATGAGGCAAATCTGTATGTAGCAACAGGAAAATGTATCTGACTTATCTGTTAAATGAAAAAAACAAGTTGCATAAGTCATTTATGTTTAAAAAATATGTACCTGTATATTTATATGTACATTTTCCATTGCTTGAATTACTTCAAATATGGATATATTACCTTTACATTAAATATTTTAAACACATTTAAGATATTATTTGGTGCATATCTTTTCTAAACATATATGACTGCATTTAAATTCACACTTAACAGTGTTTTAAACCATCACTCCTACTCCTTCCTACACTTAAGTACTATATTCCATAGGCTATTTTTTATCTTTGATAATAAAAGCTTCTGACATTGTGAAAAAGGATACTTATCTTTCAAGCACTTGACTATATTTAAAATTGCCATGCTTTTCAGTCCATTTTGCTTTATAATCAAATGCTGAGTGGTACTGATTCATCTGGAGGTACATATTTTAAAACAAGCCAGTGCAAAACAAACCAGTATAGTACATAAGGCAACTGGTAAATGAAGTTTAACTATTCTTGTCGTTTATCTATTATCTCAATATTGAGCCATTGCATCAAGTTTAGGAAGTGGTCTAGCTGTTGGAAAAGGTATGGATTTTAAAGTCAGGTCTTAGTGTGAATTCCATCTCTGCCCTCAGTTGGACTTACTTTCTCTGAGCCTCAGTCTCTTTATCTGTAAAACGTGTGTCTTATGAGGACTTTACATAGCATTACAAGCAGACTGTCTGTATTCTCCCCAATCTAAGCTCCAACCCCCAGTGTGGTGCATTTGAAGATACAGCCTATGATGAACTAGCTAAGGTTAAATGAGGTCATAAGGGTGAGTACCTGTCTAGTTATACTCAGCCCAGGGCTTGACCTCCCCAGAGGGCACCCAGTTATGTCTGCTGCCCAAATAAACATTCCAGCTCCACTAGCTGGCCCTAAAGAGGTGTGGGTTGTGGGATTCATCTCCCAACAGTCCAAATAGCTTCTAGAAGAATGGCGACAGGGTACCTCGAGACCCGCTCTTGCAGAAATGCTAGAAATACTGGCTGTTTAATGGTGTGAGCACAGCCATCCATGGAACTCCTTCAGGCTGGCAGCCTCATGAAGAGCCTTCGGCAACGTTGGGTCTGTGTTCGGATATAACCCCAACATCATAACCCGAGACCCATCTCTTTCTCAAAGCTGTGCGGCGTCTTCCTCTGCAGCTACTCTGCCTGCAAATGCCAACTGTATTTCATACACACAACCTGGGCTGACCATGAAACAGAAGGACTGACCGCCAGGGTCACTTTTTATTGCAGGCCCAGCTGCCCTCCCATCTGCCTGTTAGGCTGGAGAAAAGGCCGAGAGCTGGAAAATGTGAAAATGATACAGCCCGAACTATTAAAAAAAAATCGTGATTTTTTTTTTCAGTTGTCATTCTGTGAGTAAAACCTAGGAATTAACCTGTGACCTCTTTGTTTTTTTAAGACATGGGCAAAGGCCAGAGAGAAGTTTCCCTTATACCATCACAGGCCCAGCCACTCCAGAGGAAGAAAATAGTGACTCAAAAGTCACATAAGGATGGAACATTTTGGAAGTCTTAAGATGTGACTGGTGTTTAAAAAATAAAAACGGCTAATATGGCTCCAAGGAAATATTGCGCATCTGAGCTGCTCTCCGGGTGGTACCCTGGTCCAAGTTCCAGGGTTGATGACCTCTGGTTCTTGAGTCTCAGCAATGAAGGAATCAGGACAGTATAAAGTGAGAACCTTTGGATTTAGAATTTTCTTGGACCAGTTCTTGGTGCCTTCTCTGTAGATGCCCTCTCGCACCACGTCTCAACACTGCTGACCTGAGGGCAGCAGGACCGAAGTCCTGATGTCCCTCAGCCCCCTAAGTGCCTCACCAGCAAGACAATCTCCATTCCCTTTCATTGCAACCTTCTCTCCAGTCATCCAGCCCATCAGGCCCTCACACCTTTTGGCCAGGTCTCGTTTCCCACGATGACCCCTGAGAGAATCTTACAGAGGATGCTGCCTGCTGCCCACAGCACGGAGTCCAGCACAGTCCTCAGCACCCAGCTTGGTGCCCAGATTTGAACAACTGTTCAGGAAGTGTTATGAACAAAAACCACGGAGAGAGGAAATTGTTCCACTGAGTTATTTCTGGAGTGATCCTAGTATCCCTCCCCAGTTTTCTTAGTAGAAAAATCCTCTGACGTGTGGTTCATAGCAGTTCTCCAAAGCCATGGGGGCCCCTGCTTTCTTCACTCCTGAGAGTCAGTGGCTGTGGTCTCCAGTGAGCATCTCTGACCTATGTTTGTGAGTCAACATGGATTTACGGAGCCAAGTTCTGGTGAGGAAGGTAGACAGCCCCTGACTTTCTGAAGCTTATATTCTCATGAGAGAGACAGAAAAAAAAATGAAATAAATATCTCATTTCAGGTGATAAGTCCATAAAGGAAAACCAAAGAAAGTAAGGGAATGGAGAGGAAAAGCGTAGGGCAAGGTTATCTGAATTAGGATGATACAGGCAAGGCTCTCAGAGGAAGTGACATTTGAGTAGAGGCTGTACAGAAGTCTGCCAGACAGTTTGAGTCATGTAAAAATGTCTTCAGAATTAAAATACATGACAGTGGGAACACAAAAAATAGGAGGGTATTAAATTGATTAAAATAGTCTAAGGCTCTTAATAAATGTTGTCCAGAAAGTGGTAAAAGTACTCATTTATATTGGACTTTGGTAAATTAAGCACACATGATGTAGTATCTATAGTTTTAAGAGAAGAAAAATAAAACAGAGGAAGGAAAAGGAATGCAATGATAATAATTAATCCAAAAAGTAGCAAAAAAGAGACAAAAAAGAATATTTGATTGGAAAAACATATAGAAAATAGTATGATGGATTTAAACCTAAATATATTCATAATTACATCAAATATACATTGACTACATACTCAAATTAAGAGACAAAGATTATAAACAAATGATTGCAAATAAAATCCCATCAGACATAGCTTACTAGGGACATACTTTGAGTATAAAGGAATGAAAAGATTGAAAGCAAAGGGTAGAAAACTGCAGACAAAAGTTAACCAGAAGAAGAATGATATAGCCATATTAAAATTAGACAATGTAGACTTTAAAGCTAGAAGAATTACTAGAAATCAAGATGGCCATTTTACAAGAATGAAAGTGTTATCTCAGCATGATGATGTAACAATGCTCAATTTGTGTGTTGAATAACACAGCTTCAAAATATATAAAGCAAAAATGAACGGAAGTAAACAGAGAAACCAAGAAACTACAACCATAGTGGGAGATTTTAAGGTACTTCTCCCTGCAAATGATAGAAAGAGAAGACAAAAAAATCAGTACTGAACTAACTGAACATTTGAAGACTGTGATAAACAAGGATGCCTGCTGTCTTTTCCTCTATACTGCATTGCACCTGAGGTCTCAGCCAGACTTACCCAGGCTTATTTGCAGCCACAAGGGTAAGAGGACAAATGGAGGCTACATTCCCCATATATAAACATGCAAAAATTACAAATCAAGTTGTGAAACTGTCAAAATAGTCCTGTCCTCCTACCCTGACAAATAAACCTTTAAACGACAAAAAGGTATAAAACTAATATTTATACATGAATTAAAACTGGCAAAATATCAAAGATGATTAAATTGAATGATTATAGCATGTATCAGGTGCTCTATTGATCAGCTGGTCATGTTTGACCAAGTCATAAAATAAAGGTATGAACTATCCATCAATTATCACATATTTACTCCATAAAATGATCTTTATACCTTTATTTTAGTAAATTTTTTGTGTTGCTATAGTCAAGATTTTCATACAATTGGTACGCTTGACAGTAATGATTTAAAGGATTAAAAACTAATATGCAATTGTATTCAAAGTGCATAAGTGAACATATTTTTATAAAAATAAGAAAATGTAAAATATCAAAAAAATTGTTTTCAAAAATACTGCTTTTCTTCTAAAATATGCAAAATTATATATTAAAACTTAAGCCAAGATACAAATAAATAAATCTCAATTTTTAAATCAAAATTACTTAAGAAATGTGATATTTTATCATTTAATTTTTGAAAATTTAAATTTCATTAAATATTGTTATACATGTAAAATATTTTCTATTCTAGCATTCAGTATCATTGTATATTGCCAGTAAATGAATTAGTATGAGGCATCACATATGTTAGGTCTAGACTTAAATGTGTGCAAATTTAAGAGTAATATATATGGTTTCCTACTTACGTAAAATGTTCCTCAGCTGGGATGAACAATTGCTGCAAAAATGTTGCTAATTTATGCATAACTTGCTATTCTCCAGAATTACAAATAATAGCACAAGAGAAATAAGAAAACAGAAGCCCAAAGAATGGGAAACAATACTTCATTATACAAGGAATCTATATATTAATGCTATCTAAGAGGAATGATTTGTCAAGTTAGTCTGCTTTTACCTAAGTGCTTTTGCCATGCCAACCACCTCTCACTGCAAAGCAGTGTTTGATCCCCTCATAAACATGAACACAATTCACAAACTGCCAAATCTGGATGCCATCACCTTTGCTTCAAAGACAATGCAAAAGATGTGGAAAACCATTTTTTTTGGAGGATGGATGACGTTAGGGTAAAAGTGAATATTTAGGGGAACAGATCCCAAGTAAGAGAGTGGCCCATGCATTTTAAAATAAGTTTATTATGTTCAGCATATATTTGTGATATGCCGGTCTAAAAGAGGTATTGGTCTTAACCTGTGCAATAAAGTAAGAAAAACAAATAAAAGGTTTACAGATCAAAAGGGAAGAAACAAAGCTGTCATTATTTGCAGACAACGTAATTGTACATACAGGAAAATTTATTCAAAGAAACTATTTGAATTAATAGCTGGACTTAGCAAATCAATTACATTTCCATATAATCACACACACACACACACACACACACACACACACACACACACACACAATCTAAAAATTATTCCATTCAGAATGGCATGAATCTATAAAAATCATGTACCTAGGAATAAAGCCAATAAAAGATGTGCAAAGCCTCTACAAAGAAAATGAAATTATTTAGAGAAATTAAAAAGTCTAAATCAATGTAGAGATACAAAATGCTATGAAGAGAAGATTTTATGTTGTGAAGAAGTCATTTTTACTCAAATTAAATTACAGATTGAATGCAATTCTAATAAAATTCTATCACATAGTTTGGAAATTGATAAGCTAATTTAAAATTTTTATGCAAGTATAAAAGGCCAAGAATAACCATGAAAGTTCTGAAGAACAAAGTTCAAGAATGCACACCATTAGATGTCTTAATCCTTATTACAATCAAAATAATACAGTATTTGCACAAGGATATACAAATAAAAAACCACATATTCATACCATCACTTGATTGATGACAAAGATGAAACCATAGTGCAGTGAGGAAATAATAATCCTTTCAAAAATGGTGCTAGGTGAACTGTACATTCATATATGGAAATAAGAGAAATAAAACAATCTTGACCCTTACATTATCAACAAAGTTCAATTGCAGGTGGATTATAGACCTAAATGTGAAAGATTAAACAAACAAACTTCTAGAATATAACATAGGAGAATATCTTTATCACACTGGGATAGGTGAAAGTTTCCTAAACAAGACACAAGAACACTAACTATAAAGAAAAAGTCTGATAAGCAGGACTGCACTAAAGCCAAGAACTTTTATTACCAAAGACACCATTAAGAGAATGAAATGGCAGGCTACAGTGGGAGAAGACATCTGCCAGGTTTATGTCTGACAACAGACTGTATCCAGTATATATATGTATATCTCCTATAGATCAGTAAGAAAAATGGCAGACAACTCAATAAATGCAGGCAAGAGACCTGAAGAGACTCTTTACAAAATACATCCAAATAGCCAATTAAGCATCAGAAAATGTGTTCATCAAGGGAATGGCACTTAAAGTGATAATGAAACACCATGACAGAATGTTTAAAGTGAAAAATACAATGTCAAGTGCAGGCAAGGATCTGAAATGAGTAACTGGAACTGGTACAGGAGGAGAACTGGCCTCATTGCTTTGAAAAACTGTTAGGCGGTATTTATTAAAATTGGATCTATGCATATTATAAGCCCCCAAAATTCCTTTCTTGATATATACCCAAGAGAAACAAATACCAGTGTGTACCAAAAGTCATGCAGAAGAATATTCATAGCAACACCTCACTTGTAATAGCCCCCAAACTGGAGACAACTCAGCTGTATATGAATGGCAGAATGAATGAATAAACTGTGGTATAGTCATACAATAAATTCCTACAGTCATGAAAATAAATGAACTATGGCTATATGCAACATGGGTAAATCTCACCAACAATGTATAGCAAAAGAAGCCAAACTCAAAAAAGGACATACGCTATGAGCCCACATACATAAAGTTCAAAACAGGTGGGGAAAGGGTGGGGCGAGGACCTGGGAACGTCCTGTAAAAGGGCCCAAATACTTGTAGTAGTCTTTTTCTCTGAACTAGGTGGGGTTTACATGAGCATGTTGGACTTTGGAAATTCATCAAGCTGTAAGTAAACATACTGAATTACTGCAAATGAAATTACAGAGTTCAATGGGAAGATGGGGGCATGGAGAGGCGGTGTAGTGGGCTAAATAAAACCTAAGTAGCCAAATAATTATGATTGTTATAGTTGAGTGTTGGGTATATGGGCGTTCATTGTACCACTCTTTGTACTTCAGGTACATTTAAAATTTTCCATTATAAAAAGGGCCAGAAAAAAAAAAGAACTATTCATTGAGACCTACAACAGCCTCCTGGTGGTTTACTGCCCTCTCTGACTGAATCATAGTTCTATCTTTATCAGTTCAAATCTACACTGATAAAGCTGAATGTCATGTGAGGACAATAAGATGATGCTATGTTTCGTTTGCCTTTTCTGGCACCAACTGCTGCCTCACTCCTTCTAAGAGCTCACAGGTTTGGTTTCTGCTGCTGCCATCAGCTTACCCTGTCTGAAAAATTTTGTGCCAGTGATTAAGCTGTTTACCATTCAGTTCAAACCTGCCCTTCTATATTCTGGCTTTCTGAAGTTGTGGATGGGGCTCTGCAAACCATGCTTCTGATGTGCCAGCTGGCCCTCTGATTCTGCCAAAAAGGGGCACCAGGAGGGAGACTGGAAATCTGGAAGAGGAAGAAGGAAGAAGGGACTTGCTCCTCCCTTCCCACTTCCTGGGCACTTCCCGTCTGTTTCCTAATCCTTCGAGTTTCACAGCAGAGGTGGCAGTCCCTTCCCTTTCCAGCAGCTGAATCTTTCTCAAAGAACCAGGCTCACCGCCCTCTGCTCAAAAACGGGAACACCAGGGCAGCAGCCCCCTCCTCCCAGTGTCTAAGTTTTAATAATTCCAGCCTCTTCCCCTTGTTTCCCCAGTCCTAGGAGTGGCAGCTGCTTCCTGAAATTCTACCTCCCTGGTGCCTTAAACAGTTCTCTTACACTTTAGGTAATTAACTTTCTGCCTAGTTAACCATTCTTTATGTCAACCTCGCTCTGTTCAAATATCAGTTGAGATTTCTGCCTCCTACTGGATCCTGACTGATACAACCTTTCCAGAGTTATGCTCTGTCCTTGCTGCCTCTGTGCTTGACATAAAAATACTGATTTTCTCTTACTGAGCATACATTTATTTAACAACAACAACAACAAATCAATAAACTCTTCTCCTTCCCTCTTTCACCCCAGGTAAGCAGAACAACAATTTCAACTATCTGAGTATTCAGCTACCTCAATTCTTTTTTAAACGACTACTGAAAATTAAATAATTGAGTTTTGCCTTAATACAGTCATTAGCACAGTGTATAATGGGCTAATTTTTGACAGCATGTATCTATGCTTTTAAGCCACATGTCTCTCACATGTTTACAGTATTTCTCTTAAAGCTACCCACTGTGGATGAAACTGATATGGCAGTACTGAAATTCAGACGCAGAAAAGCCAAATTCCATCTCAGAAACAACTGCCGTCAAAGTGCTGATGTCATAGGTGTATGGAAGCTATACGGTAGGTACTTAATTTAAAGGGAGATGAGTGGAAAATTGCATATTATATGAACAAGTGCTGCTGAGAACAGAGAGCAACTTATTGGGAATGTAGTCAAAATGTGCTGTGGGATATTATCCTAAGGAAAAAAAATCTAGTAAATTCACCTGGACTAGGGTATGAAAGACAAGAAATAGGCGGCTCATCTACTTCGTATCAGCAGTCTGTTCTTAGTGGCCCATCTTTTCAGAAGGTGTAAAACCAGTAAATGAAGCCCTCAATAGTTTAGAAATTATCTTAGAGCCTTCTTAAGGCAACAGATTGATATTCCCCTGAATTAGGAACTGTGGAATGGAAGAACTCGTTTTTCTAGTTTTGTTAGACCACAGGGTGGTCAAATCCAATCAATGCTTTGTGTAAAAAAATCTTCTCTGAGTGAACTTCTGAGACATATCCTCAACACAGCCATCTTAGTTATTCTACTAAACAATATGTGACATTTGTGTATAAGATCCCTTCCCAAGAGCATCCCCCTGAATCCCTATAGCAGTCTCATGGAATAGAGCTGTAGCATGTCTACCCGGCTCTCTGCTCCCTCCTCTGTACCCATGATCTAGACTTAAAGCACAAGGAGGCTGGAACCTTTTCTAGGTGCTTCATGGAATTATCTTGCTGCTTTTGGAAGGAAATTGAGACCATTTATCAACAGATGGAATTCCCAACAGGACGTGGGAATTTCCGATTAAAACCAGAGAATGCTTTCATTTCAATGAAAGGCTTAAAAACATTTAAAGTTTGTTAAATGTCTCTGATTTTTTTTCATATGTCTGAGAACAATCTGTCATTTTGAAAAGTAGAGGAATTCTGTGTTTAACATCTCTCTTTCGAAGCAACAGCATGTCAAAATTAAAAAGTCAAAATCGGTATGGGGCTAAGAGAGCAGTGAGAGCGGGGCTGGGTAATTACTGCTACGGTTATGTCACAGGGTCAATCACTTCATCACTTCTGTTCATGGGAAGTTGATCATGCACTGATTTGTAATTCACCTTACAAATTATACTGAATTTTAATCAGCTGCTTTTTAGGGCGACAGTATTTGAAATACAGGTGACACCAATTTTCTACATTTTTAAAAACTATCATTTACTGTGCTCTGAGATTAATTTAGAAGAGTGAAGTATTTTCCTTCAGCAGCATTTCTGGAACTCTGCCATTGTCCCAGAGCAGAGGACAGGGTGGGTGAGGGTGGGGGCTGAGTGGAGGTGTGTAGCCCAGAACAGTTCCTGTGAAGCACAGTTTCTCTGAGATCTGTGTTAACGTCCAACAAAGAGAGAGGGATTTTTGCATCCCATAATCTGCTCTTGTTTTGATAACATAAAAATGTTCTAAATTACTTGCTAGGTAAATTATTTAACTGCCGCTGCTCTCTAAAACACCTATCAGGAAAATTATGCTCAGATTCTAGGGTTCTGTTTATCCTGAGGCACACCACTGCCTCTTCTAATTAAAAAACGTGGAAACTCAGACACAGTAGTTCTTGGCGCTCTAAAAATGCTTGCTCTACAGGGCACATGGGACCACAGCATGAATGGAATGCTATCTTGTTTTGGAGGACTGCAGATAAGGAGGATACTTCCTAACTTTATTAACCCATCCCTAAACTGTAGGGTTGTGCTTGATTCTTCAGTGTTTTAAAATGAAAAACTGGCTTCACCCTCTTCAGTTCTAATCCCCAGTCCTGATCACTACCTCAGTACCCGTGCAGCACAATGCTGCTGGAGGGGAAAGTCATGGGGTACTTCATTCCAAATGGGCTCAGAGAGCTGCGCTGCGATGTTTTCCTCCCTCATGCCAACTGGCCAGCACACTGAATAGCAGCCCAGCCAAACCTTCGAGGGTCTTGTCCATGTTACTGAGAAGATCTGTCTACCACTGAGAAGATCAAGGCCACCATCTTGAATTCAAAATACCACTTTCTTTACTTCCATCTTCTCTCCTTTCGTCCTTAATGTATCGGAGGATGGATGTTCCCATTCCTTCCCCAAGCCAACCTTCCCACTTGTGTCCTTGATTCCATCTCCTCCTTGCTGGACCTTCCTTCTGTCATGATCATAACTTGACAGCATCTCCTATTCTCTGTCCTCAGGCTAGGAGCATGCAGGTTTATTTTATTGAATTTTGCAGCTGCAAACTCATCGGCTCATAGAGATCTCGCTGGTCATTTAAGAGAGGGGAGGGCTAGATGGGACCTGATTAACCCCAAGGCATATGCCTCAGGTAAAAGGAGCAGCTATCACTTGGTTCAGCCGACTGCTGTCATGTGGGAATACAGACCACATTTTATTTTTAAAAAGCAGACAGGAAATTGGATTTCCATATGAAATCTGGTAACATTTACATGGTGGCCACTAATTAAAAAGACTGAATGACTCAAAAGATGAGTTGAGTGGGTCAAATACCTCGGGGGCCCCAACTGTAACCTCTCATTTAAACATATGACTCTGCTTCCCATTTAAGTGTTATTTAGCTCTCAGAACTTTGTAAACATGTAGCCTCTTACTGTTGACTGCTTTTCCACGTCCATGACTCTCTCCTCAGCCAACTTCTATGTTTTCCACTCTGCTGAAAGCGTACTCCTGAAGGTCACCAGGAAGCTTCTAGTCACCGAATACTCTGGAATACTGTGTGTATATCCTTAAAACAGTGGTTCTCAAAGTGATCCCAGCATCACCCGGAACCTTCTAGAAATGCAAATCTCATGCCCCTCTCAAGACCTGCTAAATCAGAAACTCTTCAGGTGAATCCAGCAATGTTCGCATTAGCAAGCTCCCCAGGTGACTGTGATGCCTGTACGTCTGAAAGCCACTGCCCTATTATACACCTGCCGGTGACTCCACGGAGGAGGAAGAATTCTGGCTGATGGGGATTGATCCAGCTTTTGGTAGTGGGTACTACAGCTTAAGTGCCTCTTCTACATTCCAGGGAAAGTCCCTGCATTGATGGAGCACTCTCTATTAAAGGATTTTCACATTTTATCACCTCCTTTCTGCATATAGGAATCCTATGTGTTAGGCAGAGCAAACCAAGTGGGTTTATTATCACCATCTGGCCATCTTATAAATGTGAAAACTAGCAATAAGAAGTTAAAATGATTTTCTTAAAATCGCAGTTAGTACAATGTCAGAGTTAAGATTATTCATCTGGCTTCCTGACAGAAATCACAGCCTTTTCTTTTTTTCTGTGTTTCAGAAATAACATTTTTTTCCCTACTTGTAAGAGTCAACTATATTAGTTGCAGAAAAGCTGGTGAGTACAGAAAAGACAACAGAAGAAAATAAAAAAAATTACCCGGAATTCCGCCATCTGTTATTGTGCATTTTCTTTACCCTTTTTACTTAAGTGCAGGTGCAGCCCTCTTTTCCACCCCACAGCATCGTCAGGAGATAAGCAGCTCCCCTGTTCTCAGAGCCTGTGCCAACTTTCCGGGGGTACCACAAATGGAAGATTTAAAGAATTATTTATTTATTGTTCATCAAAGTTATAAGTAACTCTGAAAGGAGATGCAAAGCCTAAATGAAATGAAATCAGCTTCGCTGATTTTTCTAGTCGCCATGACAGACAGGGGAAATTGCTAATCCTGATATGAAAATATTCAATATCTCTATGCTATTACGGGTGCCGCAGGCAACGTCCACGGCAGAGAGAATGTGTAGGCTCACTGTGACTGACTGGAATAGAATCCAGTAACAAAAACACCCTTCATTACCATTACAGTGTAGTGTGTCAATACAGCTGACACTGCTCCTGCAACAGGTCAAAAATTATAAAATATACCCAAGGACATGGAATGGGAAACTTCAAAGTTTTTACTGACCCAGAGAATTATTTTTCCCTGATTCTGCCATTCCTCTGAAATCCAGTATTCCTTTCCTCACTTCTTTAACTCACAAAGGAATTTTAAAAGTGAAGGCCCAAGAGCCTAAAGAAGATTCACGGGGAGGCCAAGCTAAGTGCTCTTTCTAACGAAGAACACTGTTTTAGTCCATTTATAGACACTTATTTAGTCACACTTGTTTATCTCGTTGGTTAACAAGAACGTCTGCAGAGGTGTTCGGAGTTCCCCTTTGGGGTTCTCGTAAGACTTCCCAACCTGCTAGGTCTTCACTTCAGAATGTAATTCCAACAGTGAAATCAACAGTTTTATTTCAGAACAGCGTTTATTGGGAAAAGAGCCTCCTAACAACAATGCCATGTGCCCAATGTCAGCTGTGTGCCGGGACCATGCTGGCACGCCCCAGGTCACCGACACCACCTCTTTCTAAAATTATGAAATATTTTAGACATTCAAGAAGCAAATATAATAATCACCTGTGAATCCACCGCCTGACTTAGATTTTAATATTCTGCCATACTGATGCTTCTTTGAAAGAAATACATTATAGGCAAAGTTGATGCCGATCTGTATGCCCTCCCCTATCCCATTCACCTCTCTCCTTTCCTCACCCCCTTGGCTATTCATCATTCCCGTGCACTTTTTTACACCTTTACGTTCTCTCTCTCCCATTATGTGCATATATGCATATGTCTATGTCTAAAACATTTCCATAAGTGGTTTCATAATAGACATGTGCAACTTGCTTTTTATGGCCCTGTGTTGCATTATGCAAGTTGATCCACATATACTTAACCTCTAAGAGTCTCAATTCCCTCCTCTGTCAGAGAAGGATAGTAACACTACGTACAGAAAGACTAAATGATTCTGATAAAGTGCTAGCACGGTGGCCAGCACGTAATAGGTCTTTGATAGAAGTTAATTACAAACATTTCATTACTACCTGACATACCGAGCTGCCTTTCACGAGATTAGTCAAAGCAAATTCTTCTTGCCTTATCTAGAAATTAACTTCTGTTAAAAACATCTTCCATAAACTCTCAGATTTCTACTTACTTCACATGACCCCAGGACAGATCAAACAAGCGCAGCACCAGAGGCTGACTGAACACATGACAGCACGGACATACATACACACACACCATGTGCATGAAGGTTAACTGTGCACCAGGTACCGACTGGAGCTTCTCTGAATTAATTCATTTCAAGCACGCAACTCTATGTATTTCATGAGTGAGGCAACTGAGGCACAAAGAGGTTAATCAAAGCCGGACAGCACAGAGATGGCAGGGGATGCTGAATTCCAGACGTCTAGTTCCTGAGCCTGTGCTCAGGGCTGACACTCGGCTGCTTCTCTCCTTCTTAGCCTGCATAGGTTTCTCTATTTTCTGTTTTAACAAAAGCTGCATGTTCACAAAAGAGATACGCAACAGCGAACTTCATGCGCGCTTCCCAAGGTATTTATTGAATTATTTACTAAAAACAAATACCTCAAGCCATTAGCATTAGACAGTGGCTCACACTCAGCTCGGCTAAAGCAGATATAAATACGTTGTGCAGGGGAGCAGATCTGAGGTTTCGGCTCCCTGGCTCCCACCAGTCCTCACAAACAAGCAGGCGGATTTCCCTCTTTGTCATGAAACACTGGTTTCTTTATGCTCAGCAAAACAACAAGCCATCATTCTTTTCCCTCTAAAAGTACATGAAGGAACGACATAGGAATTTTTAAGACTGATTGGTCCTCTGTTGATGCAGTGTGGCAAGTGGTAGAAAAAACTTTTGACGTACCTTTGTGACCATGTTGAATTCAAACTCTGCACAGTCACAGCTGAGCAGTTAGGACTTTGCATGAGGGATGCTAGATGTGGCCAGTTAGTATCAAAATTATGACCCCTATAATTTAATGGAATTTTTCAGCAATATTGGTCAACCTCTTTAGGCAGTCTAGACCCAATTATTTTTTGTTGTTCCTTTTTGTTTTTTTAAACAACCCAGCTCAAAAACGTCTTCCCAGCTTCCTGATGTCGCTGGCCTTGCCCTCAGGAATAAAGCATCCGTAGGTGCAGAAGGGAGGAAGTATCACGAGAGAGTGAGAGCCACCCTTCATTTCAAAGGGAGAGAGCGCAGGAGGAAGCGGGTTTGTGTCAAATTAGAACAAGACCTGCTCCTGTCTCAAACAGGCTGCTGCACCAGATTGTGCTACCTCCCTCTCCCGAGACCTTGCGGTACAGGATGAGACACGTTGGATTGGCACAGCCAGCCTCCAGAGTTATTTCCAGATGCCATCAATAAGCTCTTAAGATTCTCCTGCATCAGCAAGACCGGCGTGTGCCTTCCAGACACTGACGCAGCTCACCTCTGTTCCTTGCCCTCAGCTCGGGTTACTTAGGTGAGAAAGGTTAAATACACAGAAACAAAAATAAACAATAAACTCAATCCAGGTCCCCAGAATTCCCAGCAAAACACTGATATTCACTGATTTTGTCTAAAGGAGATAGAGAAAAAGCACATATTTCTTCTGGTTTATGTCCCTTTCTGAATTTTGGCTGTATTTTTGTATTTAGTTGGGTGTCTTTTTTTTAAGGGGTGTGTGTGTGTGTGTGTGTGTGTGTCTGTGTGTGTGTGTGTGTGTGTGTTTGAACAGATAAAACCACCACCACCAGAGATTTAAAAAACAGAACAAAACAAAGCTGAGTTTATCGCATGTAGTACAAGGGAGACCCAGGTCTCCCTGTGCTGAAGGGAACACTTCTCTTCTCTTCTCTTATTAGAAGAGAGTCTACACATTACAAGAAATAGCTGAGGTAGGCTGGATTTAGGGTAGTCAGATTTAGCAAATAAAAATCCAAGATGCTCAGTTAAATTTGTATTGCAGATACAGAGTCATTTTTGGTATAAGTTTGTCCCACGTATCTGGGAAGTGATTCATTGTTTACCTAAAATTCAAACTGAATGCACTGTCCTATATTTTACCTAGCAATCCTAATTAAGTGAGGCTCCCTAGGGTTCAGGGTCATGCAGCAGCAGCTGGTTCATGTGCCCATGAACTTGGCACTTGGCAACATTCTTCTTTCACGGTATCAAGTCTGGGCTGCACTGCAGTACATTCTGCTATAGGGACCAGAAACCAAATTTTCCCAACTGAGATCACCCTTTGCCATCAAGCCCAGTGGGGAAGGATACTAATTTGGGGAGCGATGCTAGACCCTCTAGGCACTCAAGCCAAAGACAAGAGGAATCGCAGTTTCCCTCTCAGACAAGGGGGATCTGTTGTTGGATGCTGCTGGTGTAGACCGGTGTTGGGAAGTGCGGTTTAAAGGAAGGCATCTTTGACAATGACTCTGATTTCAAGTTTGTGGAGCTGGTTGGAGGAAAATGTTTGAACAGATGTCCAGAAGACGGGAAGATTAACTGGGAAGACGGGAAAGGCTGGAGGCACAGCAATCCCTCTTTCCTCCCCGCTGCCCAGTGAACACTCTACCTAAACATTCCCAACCTGGATAACCCAGAAGGCTCACATACACAACATGCTCGACACCTACTTCACTTTCTTATTCTCCACACCCGCCCCACCACCACACCCCAACCTCCCATAATTCCTGCCTCAACTACAGCCTGCCCACAAAGACTCCAATGGCCCCAGGCAGCCTCCTTCACCCCACGGCAGTCAAATGCCAACTCCTGGTGAGGCTGTCTCTGAGATGTCTCTCAAGTACCCTCCCGAGTCCCCCTCCCTTAGTTCAAGCTGTCAGCAAAAAGATCTTAATGAGCCCCCCACCCCACAGCCATTTCCTGTTTTTATCTCCTCTTTTTATTGCTGTATGAGATACCTTTCTAAAGTGCAATTTTGAGGATGTTTGTCCATTTCTTCAAAACCTAAATGGCTCTTCATGCCTGGAGAATAAAAGCCAAACTGCCTCCAGGCAGGCACACAGGTCCTTCAGGGTTTGGCAGTGGTCCTTGTTTTCAGCCTCTCAACAAGCACATCCCCCCACCCCTGCCGCCCCCCCCAACAGATGGGTCCAAACCACTGGCCAGTTGTCTGTCACCTGATGCTTTTTCAGGTCAGGAGGGCTTTGTACAGACCTTTCCTTTACCTGGAATGTTTTCCATCTACCCTGCTTTTGTCTGGCAAATGTGTCCTGCTCCACCCTGCTCAAGGGGGAGGCCTGCTTCTGGTAAGCTGCTTCCTTCTGCACTGCAGACTCAGCTGCTCCCTGGTCTGCGCGCCCGCACCGCACGGGGACCTGCCTTCACTCCGGGGCTCCCTGTGCCTTGAGTGTAGGAGCCGCAGGCCTGTCTTCCCAGGAGGATTATGACCTTCAGGGTCAGAGACTTGCTTTCCTCACTTTGAATACCTGGGATTTTGCACAAGCACTGTCTACAATAATTACAGCAGTAAAGTATGGCTAACACTGGCCGAAGTGTTTATGTGCTGGGCAACTTTCTAGGCCCTTTATTTTACCTATTTACTTCTAATAACAACCCGATGAGCCCGGTATTATTATTACCTCCATGTGATAGGAGAAACTGAGGCCAAGACATGAAGGGCTAGCCAAAGCACGGTGGCTAGTAAATTGGTGCAAAGTATAAGCCGCTGAGAAACGTCTTAAAAATATTGATGCTCAGGCCCACCAAGAACCAATGACTCGGAATCTTTGGTGGGCTGGGACCTGGAGGAGCTTATTAAAACTTCCCAGGTGATTCTAACGTACAGCCAGCTTTGATGGTCACTGATCTACTTGCTTCATTCTAAGAAACCTGAACCAATGTTGGAGGCAGAGAAGCCACAGAGTTTGGGGAAGGGAGGGACCCAGACTCTGACGGTGGAGGCCCCATAGCTCTGCCCCTAAGTCCCCTATCAAGCATTAGACTCCTGCAGATGAGCCCTGTGCCAGGCCCACCTGACATGTTGCACTGAAGGGAGGACCACGGTTCTTTCCTTAGCTCACGCATGGCTTGAGATAAGGGGTGGCAAGGGCGGTGGAGATGGCTCCTTTGCAACCTGGACATGCACTTTACCAGGCAACAGAGGAAGGCTCTGGCTGCATTAGACATTTCTGAGCACATGCACTATGAGTCCACCTAATCTTCTCTAAAGACAGAACTGGTCCTGTTTCTCTCGGTGCACCAGCTGCTTCTCTGCAATCATTCCCTTGCCAAAATTAGAATGTGTAATGCAGAAACCACTTGCTATGTAGTCAGAAAGTTTTCAAAAGGCAGAATTTGACCTTAAAACCGTTTATTTGATGTGTGCCTGACAGGTATTTGGTTATGTGACATCAGTGCTAGCTGCTTGCCAGGGAAGAAATAAGAAGGAATGGAAACCAGAGAAATTTGACACAGAAAGAATGAGGACTTGACCCAGGATGGGGATAAGAAGGCAGGGGATTTTGCGGGGCAGATAAAAAAGACGTAGGAAAGGTGAGTTACTGTAGAAGTATTAGCAGAAACCACACGTGGGGCCACAGTGGGGTCAGACAGTTGAAGGAGAGATCAATTCTGGCCCAGGAACTGAGGGGTTACAGACGGATCCCAATGAGAAAGGACGAGGATTCCCTATGGCTGACAAAAA